ATTAAATTATATGTGTATCAAATCAAACTAAAATATTTATTGAAAAACAATACTTTTATGACTTTTATTATTTTTATGCTAGTGAGAACCAAAACAATATGGAAATGAATGAGGGAAAACTGAATCCTACCACGTGATTTCCCGGCCAATAAAAATGTATCGTTAAACGTTTAACGCAACCTTGTTGGAAGTCGCATAAAAGAAGTATAACTTCAACAAAATCTTAACATTTGATGTTAGCGAATTGTAACCGTTAGAGCTAATCTGATTCTAAATTATCAAGTTGTTTACAAAGTAGTCTAAGTCTAAAAATTTAGAAAATTGTGTCGAAACTAGTAGGATATTGATTACTTTCAGGAAGTTTAAAAATCGATTTAGTCAGATTTTCGAAAAAATAAATAAATAGTTAAGTACTAAAAATTAAAAAAAAAGTAACATCAAAATAATATTAGAAAATAAAAAGAACCCTTTGGTCGAATAATACTCTGTCGAGGTATCGGCACCACGATCATGCCTTGCAGTCGACTAGTCAGCCGTGAAAAATTTTGAAGTTGAAATGCTGCTTTTTCGTTGAAATAATCAAAATTAATTTTAAATAACTATAAATTTCTATAAGGTGGACGAACTTTATTGAAAAGATCTATTGCTTTTGATGGCTTGGTTTAGTTAATGGAAAATTGTTTTGGGTCGTCAAAATTGTAGTAAAACACGCCTGTTGCCAGCAATTTCCACTCTACTTTATGAATAACGCATACGAATAATGTGTTAAAATTAATTTGCCATACGCCTTTGGTACTTCTCTTTAATCGTACCATAAGGCTTTGGTGTCCCACCACATAATGCCATACGAATCCCATGGTTACCCAAGCTTATGGTGTCTTGCCATAGGAATGCCATACAAATTTCTATGGTAAACATAAGCATATGCTGTCTTGCCATATAAATGCCATACGAATTTCTCTGTCTACCATAAGATTAAGGTATTGCCAAATAAGTTTCTATAGTTGCCATAGCGTGTCTTTGGCGAATATTTTCCAAGGGAAATAAATAGTAATTAAGGTCCATAATCATTTATAAAAAACTAGTATATGTTAAATCCAGTATTTTTTTTCTTTTTTTTATTAAGCTGTAAACAATGTACTTTTTTTCCCTTTCATTCGAATACTCCTATTTATATGAGGTTCTGCTATAATTTGTCTGTTACATTAATATCTAAAACTTTGGTCCTTGCTCGATGTAGCTTTTGGAGTTCATTTTAGACCCCTTCCTTTGTACTCTCCGTATATCAAGTACTAATTTAATAACCTAGCTACTTTAAATAACCTACTTTGATGTTTATTACATTTAATTTTATGAAAAATTATGCCCCTTGCTCACCAACCCTCAAAACTGTTTTTTTTTTTTTTTTTTTTTTTTTTTTTTTTTTTTTTTTTTTNTTTTTTTTTTTTTTTTTACCGCATTCACCAGTCCCGCTTGCAGTGGGACGAAGTGCCAAGATAGTGGGAAATGAAACCAGATAGTTTATAAGTTGATATTCAATCATGTAAAAGGAAAAAAAAAAAACTCAAATTTACAATTCTAATTATAAAAATTAATTGCATTGTTCATCTTTCTGTTTATCTGCTATAGATCATGATTCTGCTTCCAATAGTTTGACTTAAATAAATTAAGCGGTGGGGGAAAAACTTAACAAATATTTTCTTAAATATTAAAATGATCTATACATTTCGTGAACTAAACTAGCTATGCTGGCTCATCTCAGTTTGCTTCTGTATATTATCCAAGCTTTTACTTCTTTTATATTTTAAATGTATCGGCTACTGCTTTCTATTGCTAAACGAGAGGTAGTACTTTGAGGAGAAAGTACACTTACGTAATTTTCAATATCATTTTAGACCAATTTACTATTGAAACCATGTGTTTGGCGCAGAATTTCCCTTTTGGACTTTGTGCCGTTAAATCCAACTTTCAATTTATTATTACAAAATGTTAACATCAATATATACAAGAACAGTAATCATCAATTTAACGTTACTCATATTAATTTACAAAAATATAAACATCAGCTTCCATAATTAAAGTAACTTCCCCAAACAATTAAATTATAGCTGATAGTTTGGCAGACCTTTTAACACACAACAAATCGTGATCAGATTGGCAAAATCAGCAGTAATATTGTTTTCAGATTATTAAAAATAAAATAAATAAATTGTCTGAAATTTTATAACACAACTTTTTGGAAAGTTTTGAACTTTTTCCTTTTGTAAAACGTAAATTTTTCAAAGTACACCAACAGTAATTTTTAAAATTATTCAGATTCTACCATACATAAATTTATTTTAGTGTAAAAGTTAAAAAAGTTTAGAATAACATAATAATTTGCGTTTTAATTCTACAACTTTAAATATCATTCGAGACAGAATGCCATTAGATTACTGCCTTTCATCAATTTAACTCAATTAATGAATTACATTCTAACTTGCAGTCAGAGGTCAAATATCTCAATATATAAGGGGCGGATATAAATGTACGTGATTCTCAAAAACATGCATAGAATTAAATCAGCCATGCGTGTCCCAATATCTAAAGTTTCAAAGGAAGTTACACTTTCCTATCAACCATTCTTTGACGAACCTGTTTATTTATTTATTTTCCCCCTCTATATGTAACATGTGATGTAAAAATAAAAAAAGTATATTATTCATTAGTTTGGTGAGGTAGGAAAAAAAAAAGATTCACTTTTAGTATACTATTTTCTTCCAACGAGAATATGCTTGGTGTCCTTCGAGTAACAGACAAGCGAATTCGGATTCTTAATGGCTAATAAAATTCAAAATTCTCAGGTAAGTTCATTCTTATGTTTAAAAAAAAGTATGTTCTAAAGCAGTGGTCACCAAACGTATGAAACTTCTGAGCTACCATACCTTTTCTAATTCTTGATGTGAACTACTTGAACTGCTAATTTCTTAAAAAAATTCTTTCTTTTGGTTTGCCTATAAGCTTACATTTTTAGTAAATATGAAATTCAGATAACGCAAACGAAAATGTTCCCGCGATCTACGATTCGGCGATCACAATTTTAAGCGAAGCATCTTAGTCGGATAGGATGCAATTCCAAGATCATGAAAAACCTATATTCTAACATATTTTCTTTGATGCGTAACAAAGACCCGCAGTGGCTCAGGAGTTTTCTCTCCCAAATAGTCTACCCATGCATGAATCACAGCGGTGGCTGGTTGAATTCTACTCCCGGCTCGCACCGACCACAGTGCTGACGTAAAATATCCACAATGGTAGACGGAACATGAGTTAGAATACCTTGCTTAACTAAAATTATTAAACATAATTATATATATATATATATATATATATATAGCACAAAAATAAATACTAAAAGAATAAAAAGAAAAAAATTAAGAAATATTAATAAGTTTTATTTACTACCAATAAACTGCAATAGAAGTCATAAAATAAGTTCGAAATACAGAGAAAACAAGGAAAAAATTACAGAATAATAAAAAGAGAAGATGAAAATTATTAAAACAAAATAAAATGAAATTACATTAAGAAAATTTAATAAAAATCCGAAAAAAGATATAATCATTAGCTCAATAATATCATCAATACAATAGAGTGAGGAGCACTAAAAAGAATGTTATGGCTTTGGCTATATTGATACAATTTTAGAAAGCACTTCTTTTTGCGGATATAATCGTGTGATCTTTTTTTTTAGAATTTTTATTAATTCTTTTTAAAAAAAATTTACGTTATTTTATTTTAATAATTTTTTTTTCTCTTTTCATTATTCTGTGATTTTTTCTATATTTTTCCTACATTTTGAACTCTATGTTTTTTCGATCGTTTTGAACTGTAACATTGTGCACCTTCGCTTCACCCTGAATAAGATGCTAAATTGAACCATATTATCATTGTTCGTTATCTTGGTCGCACGCTAAAATGGTTGAACTTTAATGGAAACTTGATTTCCTTTAACACTTTATTATGGTTACACATATTTGCACCATATAATGGTTCAAATTACTGAGATTATGGTTGAAAGTTGGACCGATTGTTCTAAGAGTTTCATGAAATCAAGAATTAAGATGCAGAACTTTAACTTTTTAGTTAAGGATGATATTTCTGAATTCCGGCTATTCGTATGAAAGTATTTTATATTGTCATGTTAAAATGATGTTTAAGAAGTTTGAAATCTGTCTTCACATTTCACTCAATGTTGGTAGAAAGCTTATTAGAAAACTTGAAAAAAATTAAAACAAAGAAATTGCTCGTTCGAGAATTTTATTGAGCTTGCATGCACCTGTTGTGTTTTCCTGTTTTTTTTTGTAGATTTTAATAATCAGGGCCTATATTGTACCAGATTCCGTTTTTCGTCATTAGAAAATTAACGATAGTCTAAAAATGTTGATATTTTATTATAAACTTGTTTGAAGAGAAAATAAAAGGCAGATTTAAATAAAGAAATACGCCCTACTTAAATGAACACACCGGACAAAAAATTAGTAACCCTTATGAGAATTTATGAAAAACATTAATTAGTAATGTGTAACACCGCCTCTGGATTTGATAACTGCCAGGATTTTGTTACAAAATGAGTCTACAAGATTTTGCAGGTACGTCGAATCCAGTTTAAGCCACTCGCTGAGGATTTGATCGCGCAAATCTACCAAATTGAGACGAAGCTGATTTCGGCGTTTCACCCGTTGTTGCAACATGTCCCTCAAAATTTCAATGGGGTTCAAGTCAGGTGATTTGCAGGCCATTCGAGATGTAATTGAGTGTCTGTATGTTCATAAAACCAGTCACATATTTTCCAGCCCTATGAATTTTGCTGTTTTCATCTTGAAAAATAGGGGTATGGACGGCATACTCTTCATGAAGATGTTGACTGGAAGATAACACCTGATCATCCACAATGTTCAAATAAACATGTTGGTTCATGTTAGTGGCCACCTTAGTGAGGGGCCCAATCCATAATAAGAAAAACACCCCCAAAACATGACAGACCCATCTCCGGCTTGAACCTGACCTTGCACGCAGTCAGGATGAAATACTTTATCTGGTCTTCGGTGCACTCGACGACGTGCGTTATTTAAATAAAGGCAAAAACGTGATTCGTCAGACCATATTACATTCCGCCAGTCAGCAACTGTCCACGTTGAGTGACAATAAATAAAATATTGTGGGTAACTTACGAAAATCGAGCTTGATAGTTTCGGTTATGTTAATTTTAAATAAAGTTTATTTTGAAATTGGTTGCAAGAATTTCTTATTAAATTTTAAAGAGAGAAAATGAAAAGTCGATGGTTTTCGAATAACAATAAAAAATCAAAATGAACCCCAGACTTTTTATCTGCTTTTTCTTTAAATTGCATGCAAATAAAGTTATAGGTTAATAGTTTATAAGTTACATGTAATATTTTATTTATTGCTTTTTTGAAGGCCAATTGAAATAGGTTTTGTAAAATTTTGAAAATTATTTCAATTTATAAATTTTTTTGAGTGTTTTAAGATTTATAAGTCTTTAAAAATAATTGCACCTTATTTTTACCCCAGAAACGTGTTTTAAAAGCACAACTGCAAAAAACAATAAACACGTGGTTTCAAATAATTCTAGGGATGCTAATTCGGTGACGTAGCACCGATCAACATACCATTGAAGTTGATGACTGAACTTGCAAAAAATAATTTAACATTAAAGAACGTGTTATAAAATCTTAAACAGAATTTTACAGTTTTATTTATAACAATGGCTAATGTCAAGCTAATGCTAAAAAAATAATTTTCAAGCATTTTTCCGGAACGAAATTATTAATATTTTTAAACGTATTTGATGTCCAAATTTCAGAGCCCAGCGTCAACGGTTCTGGAGTCACAAGGGATTCAAAATAGCGTTTTGCAACAAAGATAGACAAAATACTGAAAAATATGCATATCAGGAAGATTTCGCAAATTTACTTTACATTCCATATGCTCCAGTACGTAGGATTCGAAGCAACTGCGCATGTTCGTGTCAATTTCAAAGCGTGTGTTGGTCAGCAAATTTCAGCATTTTATTGAATAGACAAATTTTTTATTTATTTTGCATAAGTATACATTAAATATTCAATAATACATTAAAAATCAGCGTAATATATCTTTTCTGAAATAAAATTATTTAGTATACAAAATTTACACTAAATTCTAAATCAGTTATTCTTGTGTGAGTACTTAACAAATTGGTCGTAAAGCCCACTTTAATTTTTAAAGAGTATTTGAATTTTTCCAAAAACAGTTTTATAGGTGCTGACTTTCACGACTCGGAATTGCAGACTTGACAAAAACTTCTTTCCCTCTCGCAATAAAATAAAATAAATAAATGAAACAGCTATATTATTATTATTATTTATAGATTAATTGCATAAAATTTGATTTGTTACCTTAAATTATCTATAAAATGAAGTTAGGTGCTAATTTAATCCCTTCATATGATTGAAAAGATGTTTTTACTCTTTTTAGGCCAATGAAGGGGAACCATACACAGGAAAGAAGAAATCGTATTTAGAACAGCTTTTGAGCTTTGTTGAATTTAAAGAAAGTATTTGTTACGTACGTCAAAACTTTATTTATTTTAATATGCATATTTAAATGATTTGTTAGACGAAATAATACTTTTAATTCCTTCGAAACTTAGTTTTATTCAGATTAATTTTGTTTGAATGAAATCATGATGAATCATTAGGGAAATTCTTAATAAGACTAAATTAATTTGCTAGGTTTATTAAAAAAAATGAACAGATTCAAAATATTAACATTAAATGAGATATGGAAAAAAGATACGAATTTCATAGCATAAAACTTTGATTTCTCTATTTTATTTTATGTTATTTTTATTTTATTATATTATTTTTTGTTCATAAAATTGTTAAATATTAAGCAAAGTACTAACGAAGAAGAAACTAAATAAATAAAAAAAGAAGTAAAGGGAAAAAAAAACACCTCAGCTGTGAGAGTTATAGTTATATCCGCGGGCTACTTATGCTTGAAAAATTATTTAGTGTTGCCATTAGAAATGCCATATGATAAAATAAAATTTAAATTAAGCAAACGACTTTTCTCATTGGGGTTTTTTTCAAACGATATTTTTCGCCCATTTTATTTTTCCTTTAATTAATTGAAACATTTACATCGTCTGATTTTAATTTTCATCTAAAGTGATTGTTCTTTTATAAGCAAGCATGCCGTTACTTTTGTTTCATCGTTTCGAGTATTTACAGTGACTTTAAACATCTGGAGTCGCATGTAATGACTGGTTGGTAAGATTTTAACTTTTCAAGCAACTGCAAACCCATTTTTTTAAAAATAAATTAAATAATAAATGAAGACAGAAAATAGTTGCTAGAATTAAATGAATATTTCTGCAGGATAACGTAACAATCCATTAAGGAAAAAGTACTAGGGAAAGATTTGACGATATTTACTCATATCATAGTTTTGAAACGTTTTAACCATAGACCTGATCCAATCGCTATAAATATTTGCGTAAAACAGTTTGTATGACAAATTATTGCCATGAGTGTCGAAAAACGAGCGAAGTCGATTTGAAAGAGAACAATTAACACGCTCTTGTAGTATTGAACCAAATCTCTAGAGCAATTGGAAAATTATGAAAATCTTAGTTATGCCATATGCTCAGAATAATTCACAAAATTCCAACTCTTTTTTTTACTGGTCAGTTTTTTTATTAGTTTCAAGTTAAAAAGAATATTTTTTTAAAAATTAACCAGTTAGTATATTTTGTAGGTTTTAATTGAAGTCCACATTAAATTAAAATAAATTTTTTTCTTCTGTTTTTGCTCTATTGATGTAAATAGTCGTTTCAATCAATTATGACTAAAATAAAATGAGTTCTTTTATTCTATAATTTTCATCAATATTAAATTAACTAAAATTTCCTGAGTCTTGTAACATTTATCAAATTGAAATATTGCATAAAAATTTATTTTTGTGATCTTCCTTTAAATAAATCTGAGCTTTCTTATTTTTGTAGATTTATTACTAAAATTATAATTTTCGTTATTTATTGAAAGTCTTGCTTTATTTATTTAATATTATTGTTAGTGTTCTCATTAAATACCCCTTCAGAGTCTTTTGTTGCATTGTTTTTGTTTTTGCTAGTTTATTTCGAACCTAGTTCATATCGACAATAATTTTTAAGCATTTTTGACGATTTCCAGTAATTTATTGTATGATTTAAAATTCGAATAAAGTTTTCATCTACTAATTTTTTAGATTATTTGCCGAATTTCAGAAATAAAAAAGGATATACATGCCGATATTGAAATTGGTTACTCTGTTCGTGAATGTGATTCACTGCTTGAGGAGCAAGACAATTTAGAATTGAGATGTACTGTAAGTAATTCTGTATTGTAATCATAAAAATTATAGTATAATGTATTGAGCAAAAATCTTTATTTTAAAAGCCAGAAACACGCAGAATAGACCATATCATATAAAAAAAAATGTAATTATAATTTGATTTATTTTTTTTATTGGTGTTAAATTGTCAAGTTTCTCTAGAAATACATATCTAATCAAAAATCTGAGTATACACTTGCAAGATATTTTCATGATCATTAGATAAGCTTTTTCAAAATGATAAACTAGTATATTTTTAATTATAAACTAATTATGAACTATTATATTTTTAATGATAAACTAGTTTACACATTTCCGGAGCTGTCTCCATTTTAAACAAATTGTATCCCATTTTCATTTTGCTATTACATCGCCATCTACTGATTAAAATGCAATAATGCAGGCCTAATTATGAAATTTATTTCTAGAGAATCTGATTTCGTTATAAAAATGGTCGTACAACTTATTTAAGATTTTGAATTTATTATTCGCCTCATCGCCAAGAAGGTGAAGTAGGGGGATTTAGTTGTTTGAAAATATTTCGCCTATATAGATTTAGTTTTACAATTCAATGCACATTTTTCGAGACATTTGTTTCTATACCTTTTGGACAGCATGAATATTTTTAGAATTCTTGACAAAAGTTAAGTTAAAAAAATATGCTTAGCGGGTAGCAAAAACGTATTTAAGCAGGGAAAAAATAAAAATGCTAACAAAGTATATCGAATTACTAGTGAGGAAGGAGAAATTAGAACGACTAAATCAGTTTATTTGCCTAAAAAAAGCTTGAAGTTTCTCTAAAAAACAGTTTTCAAATCCTCTCAGTTTCCTAAGACAATCAAACAGGTTCGGTTGATTTAATTTGTCTTTGTAGTGATTCTTTATATTTTGATATCGCTATTTACTTAATTAAATATTAATCAGTCACTTTTAATGTAAGTATCTTTCTTACTCTGTTTTTGATAAAGATTCTTAAACAATATATTAGGGCAGTCATAACCGTGCAGTTTGTTTGTTGATGCTGTAATATAATCGATGACTAAACCATTATTAAATTATAACTAAGCATTAAATTATTGAATTATATATAATTATTAGAAAAATTAATAGAAATTCCGATGCTTATAAATTATCTAAGAACACGTATTCTAATTCAAACTTTTAAAAAATTTCACAAATACTTAATGCAAATTTTTAAAAATTACTTAAGAAATTGTTGTAAAATTTTATTTTATAGAGCGTTCGTACTTATGTATATGAGTCTATATGCACTGTAAAAAAATTCCAGATCAAATTTCACAGTAAAATTTTATACAGTAATTTTTACTATACCGTTTATTTAATTACAATGATTCAACGATTTTACAGTAAATATTATGGAAATTACGGTACATCAGGTTTTTTGTTCTGTAAAACTTAACGGTAAAAAAGACAACCACCCTGAGTGTCTGTCCCTGAGTGTGATTCGATATGGAATTTTAACATTGTGGTGAGCTTAGATACAGTGTTTCCCAAACTTATGACTTTCGTGTACCCTTTCTAAATTTTTCGTAACGCTGTGTACCCCTAATAAAAATATTAATGCATTTTTTACTATAAAAAATTGCACAAAAGTTACAAATCACAACTGGCTGTTGACACCACTAATTATTAACTGTCAACTTTGCAAAAAATAGCAGATAGAAAAACACGTAATCGTAAATTTTCATGGCTAGCTTTGTTTTTAAATAAAAATTCTTGAAATTTTCGTTTGTTGCAAGATATTTCGCATAAGAACACGTACCCCTGCTAAACTGTTCAAGTACCCCTGCGGGTACGCGTACCACACTTTGGGAAACACTGGCTTAGAATAAAACATGTCCTGAGAGAAGCAGTTTAGTTAATTGAATCATGCTTAATAAGTTCAATGTTTGCTTTCATTTATTTTAATCATCAATGCACGTCAAAGTTAACCAATTCTTAATTACTCTATTATTACCTTATTGATTTCGTGTGAACTAATTAAAATAAATAAGTTATTAGCCAATAACGTTTTTTAAGATTACTAATCAGAATTTAAAGTTTGGTTATGAAATGGTATGTATCATGAGACACTGAGAAAAAAGTATGGTAAAAAATACCAGAATATGGTAAAGTTTACCGTGGTTCTAACTCTATCGGAACACGAAAAAGCTCGGTAATTTTTACCGAAGAGCTTTGATAATGATTTCGATCAAATTAACTATAAAATATACTTTTATAAAGTGTTATAAAATTTGGCAAATGTGGTAAAATTTGGTAATTTTTATAATTATGCCTTGGAGCTTTGGCATAAAAACGGTTTATTCGCTTTACTTTTCAATTTTGTATATTTTACTAAATATGTGTTAATAAGAATTATAATTTTGAAAACCAACTATTTCGGTAAATGGTTACCATATGAGCTGCAAAATACCAAATGAATGGTTTGAATAACGTATATTCAGGTTTTTTAAACCAGAATTATGTATATTTTTTACCAGAAATGTCACTACCCTACAGTACCTTAATTTTACAAGATTTTCAAATTTGTAACTCTTCTTTAAAGGGACATAATATAAAATTTAAAAAAACGCTATTTTCAGGATATTTACAGTAAATTTTCAGAGCTGAGGCAGCAAGCAGAGGAAGCTATCAACGATAAAAACTTTCTGGTGAAGCAATTTGTAGATTACGGCAAAACATTAGAACAATCTTGTTGCTCCCTGGCGTCGACCCTTATCAGCAGAAGAGAAGTAATATTCCATTCAGCGAAATTTCACACGTTTCTGTATGAAGTAAGTTTTGTGTAGATATCTCTATATATCATGAAAAATTAATTGCCATCTTGTGCATTCTTATTGGGCAGAAAAATCATTCCCAATAATACTTGTAAAAAAATTCCAAAAATCTTAGATTGTCTTTAACATAAAACTAATAAAAAGCTATATCTGTTAAAGAATTATTTAACCCTTACTTGTATGTATTTCTAATGACACTCGGACAATCCAAGCTCGACAGCCTTCGGCCTTTTTGTGAATTTAATCAAGAAGGTGCGCCTTTCGTTTAACAAGAGAGCACCGTAAGGGTGAAAGTACGTTTTTGTTCCGAACTCCACGGTTAGATGGCAGCAGCACTCATTCGTGAGGTTACTTCCTCCATTTAGACATAGATCTGAAGGGG